CCGTGTGTTGCCCCCCCGCCTCCTCCCCCGCTCCCCGTCCCCGGGCGTCCCGGACCTGCTGGCATTGGCAGCGGCATCGCTCTGACAATCCTTCCTTCCCTCCCCGGCAGCTGCACGGTCAATGCTATGATAATAGCGGAGATCCTGAAATACGGGTCACAGCTATGCTGGAGCTGGGATCCCCCCTGGAGATGATTCAGCTTCTGCAGACCCCCTGGGAGGAGAGATTTAAAGTAAGAAAACAAAGGGAGTTTTATCAGTCGTTTTTAGACCGCAAACTGGGTAAATGCGAAGAGCCCGCGGTGACTGCTGGGGCAAAAGGGATTGTCATGCTGACACTCTGTTTGCTCCCGCAAATTGTCCTCAAATCGTTTTGTTTTCACTCCTTTTTAAATCACATTAAAATAGCCCTCGCCTGCAGTCTCACAGTTATATTCCTTCTCTCTAAGCGATGTTAGAAGAGCTACATCTGGGAGGAAACGGCCACGAAATCTTGCTCAGGGCTGGGGTGGTGTTTAATACTCAGTATTACACTATATTGCTAGTTTTCCCTCTATATTGTTCCGCTCCACAGAGGGGCTTTCCTTGCGAGGCCTCTCAGCAAGCTGGGTCTGTCTTGGGAAAACCTCCTCGCCACGCCATGAGTCTGGTGTTTTCTGTGGATTATCTACTTCAGGCAGCAGGCTGAGCAGCCTGTCTCTCACCATGTGTTTGTATGATGTTTCTGATCTTAGCCCTTTAGGTATTACTGTACTACAAACACTACTAAATTGCTTTCCTCCTGCTGTAGGTGCTAGGATTGCATGCCTGGTAGTGAGAACTGCCTTGTCTCATAAGCATCCCACGTAGGGACTCTTCAGCTCCCCAGGAACATAAATGACTTACGACACGGCAATTATTTTGGTTATAGCTTGTATTACAGTTTGCCTCAAGATCTCAGTTGGGGGTTCACTACTACTTGTTTGGTTCCCAGGAGGAAAGAGCATCAAGTAGAAGCGTGGGTACCTTAATGTCAATAAGAAATGCTTTGAGCAAAATAGAAACACAACAAAAGTCCCAAAATAAAATCCCTGCCTGCATGTGGTCCACAATGTTGAAAAGGAGCCTTGCCATCCAAGCCGGATGTGAAGCTGGGATTCTTAGGATTGCTTCGCTAATCAAGTAAAATAGCGTCAGAGCTTCCAGAGTCATTTCTCTTAGCCTGTGGAGTTCCACTTTTGCTTACAAACTGTTTCATGCTGGCTTCTACATAGCTTTCCCAGCACCTCATCTTTTCAAATGTGCCAAAGTCTCTGTAGAGCTAGAAACCCATGATGCTGGATTAGCTGGTGGTGAAGTCTGGTGTGGTGGCATTAAGATTTTCCTAATCTTTTGACTGATGAAGACACTAATTCAGAACTTATGCTGGCACTGTCTAGTCCTGTTTCCTAATTAGGGTGTCTAAACGAATGGGATTCCCCTCTGATGAGCCACATCAGATACAAGCGATTCTGTGAGCCGTTCCAAGTGAACAAACTCTCGCGCCTGCACAGATCGCTATCGGAGGCAGCGCGGGGTGGCGCGGGTCTGCCTGGCACACCTAGCTGATGATACAGTTCGTCTGATGCCAGGGCTGCTGAGACTGAATGAAAACTGCTGCAAAAAGCTACTTGAACAAAGTGCCGGTGCAGTATAAATGCACTCTTCTAGCTCTAGTTTGCTCAGAAATAGTTTACTGAGGTTTCTGCTGGATCAGGTATTGTCTGGCCTTTCCCTGCTGCCAGAAAGTTGACATAAAAGCAAAAAATTTGGCAATAAATACATTGCATGCTTTGGCTAATTCTTCAGAAGCACGATTGTGTGCGCAAATTCATACTGCTGAGTGATGCAGCAAGGCATGAATCTGGTATTAATGACCATGGAGCCTCAGTCTGTATGGAACAGCATGGGGGAAGGGAGGGGAATGTATTAATTCTATGCCAGAGTGGGAAAAAACCCTTCTGATTTCAGCTAGCAAATCAATATAGCCCCTGAAACATGAAGGCTGCTATTGTTTTCCTCACAGCTTTCTCCTCTGGTTCTTCTAACTGCAAATGTCTCTTTTTGTATACACACGTTTTTAAAAAATGTTGCTAAACTACTTACCAGTCAAATCCTGTGGCAATGTTGATAATAAATTTTGTAGCATACATATAATTACCTTTTAAGTACTATATGCTTTTTTTTCCCCCTTTAATTTCATTGAATGCCCTCCCCTTTGTTCTACTTCCAGTTTAATAGCTGTTTTTCATCTGTTTTTCCCATGCATATTCATTTTCTCTTTCTCAGATTTGCCTGAGTCTTGTGAAACTGCTGTTTTACTTGGCACATTCGCCCCTGGGTTCAATAGTCCTCTTGGATTTCCAGCCGAGGCAGTTTGTTATGGTGGATGGAAACCTAAAAGTGACAGACATGGATGATGCCAGCACTGAGGAACTGTCATGCAAGGAAGATAATGACTGCACACTTGACTTCCCTACAAAAAGCTTTCCTCTCAAATGCTCTGCGGCTGGGAAATGCGAAGGAATAAATGAAAAGAAGAATCTTTTTAATGCATATCGGTATGTCCAGCGGGATGGGGGAAAGATCTGGGGTGGCTGAGCTCACATAGTGCCATGTAGCCTCTAGCATCTCGCGTTTCTTCCGTGCAGTGATTGCCCCTCACCTCTGTCAAAGGGTAGTTAAGGATTGCTTTGAAGCCATTTTATTTTCCTTATAAGGCAGGAAAATAGTGTAGTTGTTGTCTGGTGAGAATGCAGGCATCTTTCTTCTGCTGCTCCCTTTCCCCAGCGCCTTCTAGAAGCTTGCCCCAAAGGTTGCACCTGTGAACGTAGTGTTTGCCAAACAAGCCCTGGCGCTTGACATCCACGGGCTGTGTTTGCTGAAAGCAGCGGCAGCGTGGGCTACCTGCCAAAGCCCACCAGCTTTGAGCCCGCGTTGTTGGGATCAGGGTGGCTAACTCTTCCCTTGAACTCCGAGCCTCCCTATGGAGACTGTGGGCACCTATGGAAGATCGATGAAACAGGTAACGGGCAAGGGGCTGAGACTGCTGCAGCACCTCGTGTAGTCCACCAGCTGAAAGCACGGTGACTTCCACTCACCGTTGATGCTTGGCAGGTCATGTACTGGTGGAAGTCTTGGCAGCTGGACACTTACACAGAAGGACTTGGTAAGGGAGCCTGAATTTGCAGGACTCGGTGTTAAAGGGCAAATCCCTGCACAGATTATTGCAGCCTTGCAGTAACGCGCTTGTGTCTTGTAGAACAGGAGTTTTCTAGGAGGTTCAGGGAACGAGTCCTGCCTTTCCAGTGGTAATAAGAAGGCCAAACCTTCTCAGGGCAAGGGAAAGGTCTTGCATGAGTCTTCTTTTATACAGGTCTTTTTTTTGATGGGAAATGCATTGCTTAGTGCAAAAATACGGCCCTGGGGAATGAGGGAAAGCTCCGTTGTGTGAGCTTTGGCAAGGTAGATTTCATGCCGTGCTTGGCTACGTGCTGTGCTGCAAGGACCAAGCTTTCAGCCCAACTCGCAGGAATGGTCTGTGAGATGCCAATGAAGTGCTCAAACATAACTTATAACCAAAGCAGACTTACTAGTTACATTTGGGTAATCGAGTCACGGGAAAATGTAGACAACTTAATCACTAGGGAAATTAAGCAACTGTATTCTAATCAGTCTGTGGGATTTTTTGCAGGTATTTTTTCACCTACCTTTTGCCGCACTCTGCACCACCGGCTTTGCGGCCCTTTTTGACCGATATTCTGAATGCAACAGGTACCAGCTAATATTTGTAAACTTCTTTATTAGAAGTCTCTAAATGGTATTTGATGGAATGACTCATCTTTGTCATCTTTTTCTTTAAATGTAGGTGATTTACGATATGGAATAAATGAAACCTTGAAAGCTTTTGAAAAGGTTTTACATCTGTACAAGTCTGGGCTCTATCTGCAGAAAAGACCTCTTCTTTTAAAAGGTACATCATTTTGAATGCTTTAAGTAACATAACTGCTGAGGGAGCGAGGAACTTGGTAACTGGTCAAATTCTGATCTCCCATACATTCAGGCGGTGTACAGTCGCTAAGAAAAGCACCAAAAGTATCTTTTCTTGGAGCAGCCTTTTGTTGGTTTTTCATGGGAGCTATGCATGACTGTATTGTTTCACAAAATAAATGCAATGCAGACAATCTGGCCTACATATGGACATCTGTTTGCACTGCTTCTAAATATTGTTCTCATAATGTGCATTGGTGTTTCAAGTGAATATATTTGGGCTAGCTTAAGCAATTAGACCAGAGTAGCAAACTGTCTCCTATCTCTCTTCGGGGTCATCTTATCCTGTAGACCAATGGGTCAGTTTTCCAGGCTGATACTGAAACTTCCCGTTTCGCTTGGTGGCTTCTGACTGCTGAGCACAGATTATTTTGGGAATGTACAGTGGGGAGGTGACAACACCGAGATGAGCGTGGCAGGGTAGCGGGGACCTTGGTGCCCTCTAAGTTTCTTTTTTCTGAAGACCATCCTATTGGACCTCTGGATGGATAAATGAGCCTTTATGAGGTGCATTCCTCTGAAAAGGACCCGTTTGGTGGTAGAGATGAGGCTAATCAAAAGATAGGCTTCAAAAGTCCTGTGGTTACTGAGGCTTACATTTTCCTGAGTGTTCACTTGAGATGGTGGGGTGGTGATGGTGGCTCATGGAAGGAAATCTCTTTATGTGTGAAAGAACTGGAGTTTGCACCATTACGAACAAAGCTACCCAGTCATTTGCACTGAAGGACCAGCAGCTTTAACAGAAATTACTAGTATTTTCCAACAACACCTACCTGTTGGCTTTGCAACTGGCCCAGTAGCAGTGTGCCAAAATGATCACCGTCCTAGAGGTGTGGGAGGGTGGGGAGAGACTCTTAGCAGTCAATGAACAATAGGCTGAATATCACATGCTCAGGCTTGTCAGGTCTTTTATATCCCACTGGGGCAGGATCTGGGCTCCCTTCCCCCCACTGGGGTCCCTAAATCTCCTGTACCTGTGGGAAGCACCATGATGGGTGGGTCAGAGCGTGCCCCACGTAGCTCGATGCTGGATCTGTAATGAGCTGGTTCTGCTGTTGGGGCTGAGGTGTAGGAGAGGCCATGGTGAGGGTGGCTTCTCTGGAGAAGAAGAGGAGCCTCTACCCCCCCTTCCCCATGGTCGCTCCCCTGTCCCTTCACCCTTGACAGCTCTGCCCCCTCTCTTACATCCGTGGGGGAATTGCTGTCCTGTGCTCCATAGCAGAACTAAAAGTTAGGATTTGGGTTTCTTTTATCTTTGCAGCTGCACCCACTCCATCTAAGCAGGTCAGTTCAATCTATCACTGTCATGTTTTCTTGAAGAGTTTCACTGAAGTGCAGCATACTGTCTAGTGTAACTAGTCTCTGAAAGTGCCCTTAAAGAGTTTCCCTCTTTCTGTTCCCAGACTACATCTCCCTAAAGGGCTTCCGAACGGTGGAAGGAGAAGACTACAAGTGCTGGCCCTCCTACAGCCACCTGGGGTGCCTGCTCTCCGTTCACAGCGCTGAGGAAGCTGCCGCAATTTGTAACTCCCAATCGCAATGTCAAAGTTTTATCGTTACCCAGCGGAGGACGTGGACAGGTGAGCTTGGCCAGAGGTGACAGGCTGCTGCGGCGTGGTGCCCCTGCTTCCTCAGTCGCAAGTGGGGATGCTGCTGCTGCCCTCCTCTGTAGCGCCTTCCTTACTCTCGAGATCGGATAGCTACTGCGGTGGGCATCCAAGGATCCCCTGAGGATTTGTAAGGAGACACAAGAGAAATTATATTCTCTTTCTGCACTTTCTTTCCTCTACAAATTTTGCACAGGACTGCTAGGTATTGTTGAACAGTTACTTACTTCATGCAGAGATGGCTTCACTTTGGTATTAGGCTAAATAATTCCTGTGGTATGTATAGTTTGCAAAAAGCTGTGAGGTTTGTAGAGATGAAAGAAGCTATGTAAAAGAAGGTGGTTACTACTGTTTTAATTAAAAGAATCATAGCTTACAAGCTGTTATCCCCTTTATCAAAACTAAAGCCCCAAACCAATGGACTTCCAAAATGTCCCTGTAATTAGCTCTGATTATAGCCTCTTACAGTTGGCATGCTTTCAGAATTATTATAAATTACCTCATTTAGCTGACACTTCAATCATGGGGTAAATTGTTACTTATAAAGTGAAACGCTAAATGAGGTAAATGAGTGTTTTCATTCACAACGGTGCTAAAGAATCACGTCTTGTTGGCTCACATGATATTTAAAAAAAACAACCCAAAACTACCAAACCCGCAGCTTTTCCAAGGGTTCGTGTGCAATTGGCATGTGGCTAAGTAGTGACGTAAAAGCGCTTACAGTGATGCAACATAAATCTCTCTGAGCGGGTTTCACACCAGCAATGGATTGTGTGAGTTGTGCCTAACGCATCGCATCTGGCTTCCTCATGGGGCGGCTGTTAGTTGCTGTGTTCGGTGCCTGGCTGGAAGGAACCCCGCTTAAAACAGCGCTGGGGGTGCAGAAGAAGCAGCACGTGGGACAGAAGAGCCTTCCGGCAGCGCCTGGCTCAGATGCTGATCCCTGCCATCCTGCACTGTGCCTGTGGTCTGTTAACGCTCCTGACATGTTTCTTCCCCACATTTTTACAGCTCATCTTTGCAGCCAAAGATGCCAAAAGCGTGTGGCTGAAATGCCGAGCGCCTAACTTTGCCAGTCGGATTAATGAGAGCTGTGGGAACAGGCTAGTCCCTCTTAGGGCAGCTCGGTAAAGCGAAGCAAGACGTAAAAGCTGCTGGGGCCCGATTGTGCGTTCCTTGTGCACACGCAGTGAGCATCTGGAGTTTACTGGGAGTGTATACCACATCTATGGCAGGGTGGAGTGACCTTCCGTTGAATGAGCAGCGTGTTCCTGTGTCTTCTGCAATAAATAGCATGGGTCAAGGTGAACCTATCTCCTCTATTAAACTTGCATTTTTATTTCCTTTCCAGGACGTCCGCTTGCCTCATTTCAGAGTAGCCTGACTGATTTAATACCGGATGCTAACTCTGTAGTCTATATTAAACGATCGGCTTCCTCGAGGGAAAGACTTTAAAGAAAAGGAGATCACGTAAAATGATCCTGGGAGGAACAAACCACTGGGGAGAATTTCATCTGCTGAAAAGAATGACATATTTTATTTTGCTTTTGGGATGGGATCTCCTTGCCAGCTCGGATAGAGTCAAATGCTGCTGTCTCTTTGATCAAAGCTCAGATTTCTCATTGCAGCCCCGCTAGCTTCTTTTTCTGTTCCCACACTGCTGTTCTGCATAAGCCCTCCCAGTTTTAGTCAAATGTTGCTAGACTGTGCAATACCTAGCCTTGCTGCTTCAGTAACCAGCTTGTCAGCCAAGAAATAGAAATAGCTGCAAGGGATCTGGCTTGGGTAGGCTTAGTTAGTTCAGTTACCTCCAAAAACCTATGGATAATGTACCTTGGAGAAGGCAACGCCTCCTTCTGCAGCTGCTGACTAGGATTTCATACCACTGCAAATGTAAAGAACTGGATTTCAGCAATGGGTTGAGATTGCAGGGTTGGGATCCGTAACCAGAGGTTGATGATGGGGATGGTTTTCCAAGGAGGGATCTGATTCAGTTCTTTCCAGGGCAGGGGAGGGAGGTGGTGTATAGGTCAACTCTTGTTTGAATGCAGGATTTGGGTTTGACCCTATGTGATTTGTAATGCCAGCTCCCATGTATCAACCTTGAAGGTTTTTCTCTGTTACTTTCTGTGAAAGAACGAGACATTCAAATTATTTATGTATAAGGCGTTACTCTGTATGATAAAGAATGACTATGTTTATTCTAAGCATGCTGTGAAGTTTTTCTCTTTAATTGTCCAAGTCTTTACTGCAACCAAATGAACAAATGCAAGTGTTCCCCACCTTCAGCTCACCGAGCATCATCACCTGTTCCCGAGGACAGCTTGTGAGTGTGCTCAGCAGTGTGCGAATGCGCCAAAGCCCCTTGGACACTTAGATCTTGGAGGACACTTTGTGCCTGCACTTGCAGGCTCACAGGCATAGAAGAGACAGTCTGGTCTCAAGAGCCTCCTGCATCTGCCCTTTACTGAAAATGTAGATGTGACCTCTGAAAAATAGGTGGGGGTTAGTATAATTTCAGGCTGTAAAAGATGGCAACGTAATGTGCCACTCCTGGGAGCGCCTGGAAGCAGTGACCATACAGTGCCTCTTCTGTAGCACGGTTGGGGAAAGCCCAAATCATCGCTGACCTCATGCCCTGCAAGGGAAGGTCCCTGGCCTCATGCAGGAGAGCCACGCTGCAGCCTCTGTGTTGTGCTGCATCGACTTTTCCACTTGGCCCACGCTGCTGGGTGGACACAGCGGCTCTCGGGATGTTGCCGTTGACGGTGTGGCCATTTCTATGTGGGCCCCTGTAGCAGCTGGGGTACCACCCCCCACGCTCCCTCCCCGACGGTTGTGCTGTGTTTTTCATGATCTGGTCCTGTGTTCCCTAATGCAGGTTCTCGCCTTTCAACTCATTAGTACTCTATTAACCCACAGCAATGTCATCGTATGGGGGCTTTCTCATGCGCTATAACCCCTGCTGCTTACAGTGGGGCTCGGGGACTCTGATAGTGATATCAATTAATGAGAATTCCTAGTTAGCACAACAAGAAGGCTCTTCTTAGCGATGGCCACATTGCTGCAGGCTTTGTGAAGGCAAGGCTTTTTAAATGGACAGCCACAGACCGCTCTCTCCATTACAGTGGGTCCTGTGGAAGTTGAAGGAAAGGTCCTGCCAGGGGTCCGCTATTGTTTTACATCGACCCCACTGAGCAGGGCTTCAGGCATCTGCTGTGTGGTGCTTTACATTAGCAAGAGGTAATGAGAGTTTATTCCATATCTCTCAGCCTCCTGAGATACAAATCAGAACTACATTCCCCAAAGCAAGGGCAAGGGCCAGCCTGGGGTCATTTCAGAGAGAGAATGTAAAAGTTGAAGTGATTCCAGTTTGTGTTAGAAAGATCTTCCTGTACTAAAAGTCTCTCCAGGTAAAAAAAAATTGGTTTAGTCATGCGATTATCCTTTCAAGTTGCAGATTTTTCCATGAAGCTTTCATTGTATGATTGCTTGCCAGGTAGTCAGGTCCAGCCCTCAGCAGATAGTACAGGGTATGGCAGTGTCGCTTCTGTAAATGTAGGTTCCAGTATCAAACCCGCGGTTAGAGCCTGGGAGCAGAGACCATATCATCCTGCCTTGAAAGTTTTGAGCACATGATACTTAACAAATAATAACAACAACAATAATAATATTAATATTAATAACAATAACAATAATAACGATAAATAATTATAATGGCAGCCAGGCTTCAAAGAATCCCAATGCTCAATATGCTGTTGCCACAGCGAGTGGTTTTGTAGGACATTTGGACCATCCCCTGCAAACGAGTAGGTGCATGCTTAGAGCTTGGACCCCTGTGAGCACATTCATGACACTGGCACAGACAAATAGCCAGGGCACAGGCACGCATTTGTGTTCGATTCTGTCCATGCACTAGAGACTTAGAAGGTGCTGCAAATAGGCTGGTAGAAGCGTGTGCATGGATTCTTCTCATACCTCCGTGCAGCTCCTGACAGCACGTTAACACCTGGTGGGCATGCCAGCTCCAGTCTGATTTGGAATGACATCCCACTGCAGTTCAGTGGTGCCCAGCGAATGCTGGGTGAGGCACAGGGAGAGAAAATGTTTTATCGACTCACTGCATCTAGAGCTGTAGCTTGACATGCATTTGAGGAAACAGAGTCACTGGAAAAAGCTGTTCCCACCCTGCTTTTTCCCAGCTTCTTGCTGTTATCATCTGCTAAGAAACCTTTTCCAGTGGCCATGCCAGTTTAAAGACATGAAATTAATTCTCTGCTAGCCTGCAGTGGGCAGCTTGTCACCCCTAAGCTCCAGGCAGCTCGGGAGCGGCTCAGGTGCAGCTTCTGCGCCAGGTCTGTGCGGGGCACCCAGGCTACTCGCAGTCTGAAGGGGAGGCTATGGGAGCAAGCATCTTCTCTACAGCTTTTGGGCCCATGTGGCTGTTCTGTAGTTCACTGTCTGTATGTCCCATCTCACTCAGGCAGCCTTTATTCATTCTGTCCTTTTATTAAATTGTAACTGCTTCAAGCAGCTTTAGACTTTCAATGCCAGTGAAAATTTCAGTGCACGCCTAAAAACTGTAACTGTAACTACGGTACATGCAAAACCAAGATATAAACATTTGTTGCCCTTAAAACTCCCAGTTGCTGGAGTCAATTTGTCTCTGCTATCGCTGATCAGTATTTCAGCCACCATTGTAGAATATGTAACAGAGGAAAGTGCTTGGAAGGAAACAGCAGGGGATAGATTGCAATGGAAACCATGTGTGCTGGGGGAATAATATTTACCTAAATGGGTCTATCACATCTTCCCACAGGATGCTGCCATGAGGGGAGAATGGATATGAAAATGTTGCCTCCATAGATAAAAGTTAGGAATATAATTTTTTAAATACAAACTTTAATATTCCTAATTAATTCCATATTGTAGTAACAGAGATAAAGCCACATCCATGAAGGATAATACCATGTACTCCAAAGATATAAACCACAGTTTAATGAATAGTAACAGATGCCGCATGACTCATGTTCAGAATGTTTGCGCAGGCATTTACATGACTGGTGACTTCATGATGGATTGAGGAGCGGAGCAAGGGGGACAGAACCCAATAAAGAAAAAGCAACTCCTGGTGCGTCAGAGAAGGTTCAAATAACAATGAAAGTCATACCTGTGTTCTTACATGACATATTTTGCAAACTTCAATGATGCTCTAAGGAACGCTCAAATAGATGAACTTTCAGGTTGTTTTGGAGCACTTGATAAAACCAGGAATTTATCACAGGCAGCTGTAGGCCAAAATCACACATCTGGGTTAACATTAATTTCTGTAAGTTGTCCTGTAAATACACGTACAAAGCACTGATCTTGATCGCTACAAGTCAGAGCACTTTGGTCCTACTGGGTTGAAAGAGCTGATTTGGCGTCCGGTTTGAGAAACTAGTGAAGTGTAACTTCAGTACATAGCCCATCACAATAGCTTGGTAGAACTGTGTTCAGTTTTGGGCCCCTTGCTACAAGAAAGACACTGAGGTGCTGGAGCGTGTCCAGAGAAGGGCAACAAAGCTGGTGAAGGGTCTGGAGCACAAGTCTTATGAGGGGTGGCTGAGGGAACTTGGGTTGTTCAGCCTGGAGAAGAGGAGGCTGAGGGGAGACCTGATCGCTCTCTACAACTACCTGGAAGGAGGTTGTAGCCAGGTGGGCGTTGGTCTGTTCTCCCAAGTAACAAGTGATAGGACAAGAGGAAGTGACCTCAGGTTGTGCCAGGGGAGGTTTAGATCGGATATTAGGAAAAATTTCTTCACCAAAAGAGTTGTCAGTCACTGGAACAGGCTGCTCAGGGAAGCGGTTGAGTCACCATCCCTGCAGGTATTTAAAAGATGTGTAGATGTGGCACTTAAGGACATTGGTGGACTAAGCAGTGCCAGGTTTACGGTTGGATTTGATGATCTTAAAGGTCTTTTCCAACCTAAATGACTATGATTCTATTATTCGCCCCCTAACTATAGCACGTGCAGCAATCTTTCTCCTTGGTTCCATTGTCCCCATGTACCAAAGTGCCACCAACAGCAGTGTGGAGATAGTGGTGGTGAAGGAAAATTCAAAGAAGGTAATTTTATATGAGGCAACCATGAGCCCCTCTGCCTCCTCTGTATGTAGCACCTGCTTCATCCACGATGATGGATTTGCCCTGAGTGATAGTTCTTGGCTAATGGCAAAATGTATCAGATCACATCAAACAGGTCTGGGTGCACCCAGGAGGGGTGATAGCTGGAAGGAACGGCTGCCAAACTCCTCTGCTTCAAATTCAGCTCCTGGCTCTGTGTGAGAGCTCCAGGCAACAGCTTGTGCTTTGGAGCTTTTGGACCCTCAGCACTCCTGGCTGGCCAACCCAGATGGCAACTGTGCTGGGTTTACTGGTAGGGGAAACTTCTCAATGTAGCTGTGGAGGAGAT